AAATATGATTTTAGAATTTAAATCTCCAAATGTAGGGGTGGGTGTAATTTCCACTTTTAAGTTTTATCTTACATGTGTTAGAATATAATTAATTATTTAATATTTATTAAATAAATACAATATTAATAATCAATCAAAATTAATTATATCACTTTCTCTTTCTTTGATCTCCCACTTTCCCTCTCTAATTTCTCACTCTCCTGTACGACTACAACGCAGGCGTTTTTCGTTGTTGTTGCTACTGGAGACACCGTCATCACAATTCAGCGCAGGCCACAGCCCCACAACACCGTACACTAATCTCTTTTTCCCCAAATTAGCGACGCTCATCGCCTTTCCCCGTGAGTGGTGCTCATCGCCTTCTCTTTTTTCTTTTTTTTCCCAAGTTTGATTTTTGATGGGTTTTTATGCTATCTGCGGTTATTTGGAGTGATGATCTTCGCACAAGGACGATGGTGCGGTGGTACGGAGTGCTACAGATCGGGACAAGTGGCCGAAGTTGCAGATCTCTGGCTACGATTGTGGTGTTGTGGGTTCGATGTCGTGTATGGTGTCTTGGTTGGGTGCAGCGTTGTGTGCGATAATTGTGTGCGTTGATGTGGCGGCGTGGTGGTGGATATGGTGGTGAGCAGTGGTGTTAACATGTTGTGAGATGGTGGTGGTGTTTGATGATGGTTTTTTGTGAGGTGGTGGTCAAAAATAATTTGACTGATTGTGATCAATAAATTGTTGAATTTGTGACTAATAAATAATATGTGATTAATTATTTGAAATCGTGACCAATAAATAATATATGATTTAAAAATTTGAGCTGTGACTTACGAAATTTGTCATTTGCGACGATAAATAAATTGTGACCTATAAATTTTTTTATTCTTGATCGAAAAATAATTTGTAATCAATTAATTCGATAATTTGTGACCGAATAGTATACAACTACGATCTTAATATATTTAATTAATTATTTCATAAATAAGATTTAATTAGTATCTGATTTCTGAAGTTTTTCACTTTATTTTTTAGTTTCGTCATAATTAATCTATTTTATATGAAATTTTCCCTTAATAAAATGAAATATGCTACATGTAAATAATTTCACGTAGTGGACAAACCCATTTCCTTTCCCCCACCCAGCGGCACGGATCTTGGGCAGGAAAAATTCAAATTGGAAAGACGGTAAGAATTTTAATTTCCACCAAACATTTAAATCCAATTATGTTAGCCCGTCAGACCCGCTAATTAAACCCTATTTTTAATCTTTCATATCACCTCGATGTTGACGAAGCAACATTGTGGACCATTTACAGGTAAGATTATGTCTAATTGTCTATATACGCACATTCATTATGTAAATGATGCATTTATACAGTAATGTTGTTATTATTATTATTTTTTTGGGTTTGTAATAAATATGTGATCTTAATTAAGATAGTTTTTGTTCAATTGAAGAAGTTTGCTTATACAGATTGTTGAAATTGAGTCTATAACAGTGTGGGAATTTTAGTTTATTTATTCTTTTTTAATTTTCAGTGTTGTTGATTAACGGCAATTGCTAAAGATGATTTTGGGGTGACAGGATGTTTTTCAGCGCAGCTACCGAGGAGTTGGATTCGTATTTTCCTATTAGACCTGAATGCCAAGCTGATGTTCCCAAGACCCGCTTCAAAGCTAGGGTGTGTAAAAATGTCACTCTGATTTTTCACCGTTGTTTATTTATCTTAGAAAATTTATTATCTTCTGTTTCCGAGGATGAATTTCATAATGAATACTAAAACTACCAGTTCACGGTTTTCCTCATTTTTTTTTTACGCTGTCTAATGTGCTTGTTCAGTTTTCCACTAATTCTGAAATGTGACTTGACATGCTTATTCCCTTCTCTCACACTGTATTGACAGGTAGGGAAAACTCTCAGTCCAAGAAGATGGCATGCCGCATTTTCTGAAGATGGTCATTTGGACATAGCAGGTGTTCTTAGAAGAATCCAGAGAGGGGTAAAGTTCAGTATTTGTTGTTTATTTTCATCTCCAAAGTTGTATAAAGTCGAAACCATGTTTGCATGTTTAAAACTGTGCCTTATGAGTTAAATCTGATGCAATATTGTTTTTCAACAAGCTACATAAGAAACTTCAAACGGATTGCAAGTTGATATGCATTGTTTTACAGGTTTCCTTTTGATTTGTTATAACATAGTAAAATGAGAGGGCAAATCCAATTGGAAAATGGAGTCAGGAAATCATATTTGCAAATGATAGTATTTCTAAATTGCTTGTCATTTCCAAGAACCCTATCTTTTTTCTTTTGACTCTGATTGTTGGCTGGAAAAACAAGGTCAATGCATTTACATTTTAGCAATGTTTTTGCCTATTTGAAAAACAAGAACTGAATTACAAATCAACGGGTTGTGCCATTCACATCCATATTCTCATAGCTTTATATCTGTGCACCATGGAAGTTCTGGTTTCACTGCATGAATTCACGTCAATGTTAAACTTCAGTTGATAGGGGAGTTGTAATTAATAGTAGTCAATGCAATCAGAGAATGACATTTATCATGAATGAGTCAGAAAAAAATCATATTAGTAGAACACTTCTGTATCTGAAAGTTATCTGCGGAGAACAAATTTGTTCCAAAATGCTGAATTTAAAATGTCCAGCTGGATTACATGATCCTTTTCTTTTAAAATGAAATTTTAATTAGAGCAGCAAAGGTGCTAATGTTCATCTTTTGGCCATACATGTTAGGGCATTCATCCAACGGTCAAAGGGGTAGTTTGGGAATTCTTGTTGGGATGTTTTGATCCCAACAGTACATTTGAGGAAAGAAATGAGGTCAGACAAAAGCGGAGGTAATGCAAGCTCTTTCAGAACTACACGTGTAGAACATTTATACGAATTAAGTTGCGTTTCTTTGTACTAAGAAACAAATTTAAAATTAAAACTTGAATTGAGTCGAATTTTATGGAGTAGCATGACAGTTCCATTTTGATGTAATTCTCCTTTCGAAAAATACAAATAAAAATCTGTGAAATTATTTCCTGTGGAGAATGTGTTTTTGTATTCATTTTTGTTGTTTGGTCCATATTATGAAAATACTTTTTGGTGGGTGGTGGGTCGAGGTTAGTTGCAAATGGCAATGCTGGGCTACGAAGCCCAAAAACCTCCAAAAGGCTACTGTTCCTGTATTGCACTTTTTTTTTGGAAACTTCAAAAGTTACTGCTTGATCAATTCAAATTTTATGATCAATAATGTCATATTTTCTTTAAGATGTTGTTTACAGAGATCACCTCTTTGCCTACCACTAATAATAAACTTGTTATGACCTCCAGTCCATACTTATGTAGGGGCAGGATTTACTGACTGACATCATGTGGTGGCACCTCACAGCCGCCTTGAAATTGGATTACATTTTATAATCTCATAAAATACTTGAACCAGTGAGACCACTTTTTCAACTAAATGAAATACTGACTTACAGTTCAGATATCCTTCATTATCTTGACCATACTAGGATTTCTTGCTGGATAAATTCTTTGCATAAAATTTTGAGCTTTTGTCTTTTTTCTTAAAAGAATGACAAAAACTTGGATATTTATGGCTCATTTTTTTGGGTATTATGTTTAATTATTGCTAACTACCTATGCGAGTGTCCCTTGTCATACGCAAATGGAAAGACGAGTGTCAAAAATTGGTACCTGTTGTTGGCAGTGGAAAGATAATCACCTCACCTATAATTTCCGATGATGGTCAATCAATTCAAGATCCTTCAAACAGCTGTAGTACCCCACATGATAACGGTGCTTTGTCAAGTGATGGTACTTTGGACAAAAGAGTGATTCAGTGGAAACTTAGTTTGCATCAAATAGGTTTGTAGTTGGGCATAACTCAAACCTCATGATAAACTAATAGTTGTTTAGATTATTGCTGTGCCTATCTTTTTTCTCACATTCTTTTCCATATTTGCTAGTTATGCAACTTGTTGAATTGTTATCCATGTGTTAGATTCTATAATCTACTTTCTAGTATTGTAACATTCATCTTATAATGTCTCTATGATGTATTTTTCCTATGTCCAATGTTAACTCTGATTTCTTATATACCAAATAACATTTATGGCATGAGTTCTGAAAAAAAAATCATTATTGTGGTGGGAGAATAACAAATTTAGTGATTTTGAGCTGTTAATGATGATTACTGCAAACATATTAGCTACAAGGTCACAAGGACGGGTAAAAGCTTGAAATATACTACGATATTTTTTTAATCAAAGTAGCTAATATATTGATGAATTTGAAGATACATTAACTGAAAGATAGGGCATATAGCTTTAGTCTTGCAGGATTGTGGATAATATATTCCAAAGGAAAACTTAGATTAGACCTCTCATATCATTATGGTGACTTTTGGAGACTACAGGTAATAATGCTTATGTTTTTGTGGGAGGGTTTCTACTTATCTTCATTTTTCTCTTTCTTTGAACTTATTAGAAGACATTGTTGGATAAAGTTCTTTTTGTCACCACCTGCAGGTCTTTTTTCTCCTTCTTCTCCTCGTCGTACACTGCTGACCAAATTTTCTTACAGCATGTGCATTTTCTGAGAACGTGGATCATTCTTGAAATATCTTGAAACATTTCTCCTGGAGTGAATGCCTTGGGAAAATCCTTCAGTTTTATAAAATTCCTTGAAGTTGAGTACTTGAGAATTTGGATTCATGGAAAGGCATCTATTAAGCCAAACATAAGTTGTACATTTAGGCTGAGAAAATGACTCATCAGTATGTCATTCATCATCCTTATCCTCATCATCCTTATGGTCAAAAGTTTGTATTGTTGGATTAGGAAAATCCTAGCAAATACCTTCTAATGGAGATTATTGTACTCATATTTCATTCATCTTTTGTTTTTATATAGAGACAATCAACAAAATTCCAATTGGTGAGCTTGAGTATCAAGTCGGATGGGTGTGTTACATTTAAGGCTTAAATATGCTACGAGACTAGTAACATTCTTTTCTTTAATGATTTGCCACATAATTTTACGGAAAAGCTAAAAGAGGTGGAATAGCAGTAGTTATGGAGACAGTGTCCTTTTTCAAATGTTATATCATACCCCCTCTGTCACAAAAGTGGCCTCAGAGACTTTTGCTGGTCGGGTTGTTCATTTTAGGTATCAAAATTAAACAATTTTAGCAAAGGAAATTATGAAATTGTAGTGGCTTGTTCAAATTCCTTTACAATGTTACATTGTTTCTATTCTAAAAGTGATTTTTTTTTTTTTAATTGAAAAAAGGTCATTTTTACTAGATAAAGTCAAGGAGGCCATTCAATTTGTGACTGAGGTTATTGCTCAGGGAATTATGATGAGGTTTGCTCAGAAAGTTGAAAGTATAGCTTAATCTAATCTCGTCCATGCTTAATAGGATAGAATGGCGAGTATAAAAGAATTTTGGAATTGCTTTTAAATCTTCTCAGTGTATACGATATTGAAAAGGTTTTCTTCACATCCGAGAATTGAAAAAGCACGATGTTGGGGACAAGATGAAATTCTGAATCCAAAAATAAATTTATTTGGGAATTCCATCAATTGAAAGCGTAAAATGATTATTTGAAATCAATTTTTTTTGAACTTTAATCAATCTAAGTACATATAGATGTACATAAAATGTTAATTCCCACTGCTAACATAAATGATGAAATTCATGCTTTAGGTTTGGATGTTGTTCGCACTGATCGTGCTCTTGTATTTTATGAGAATGAAGCTAATCAGGCAAAGCTCTGGGATGTTCTCGCTGTCTATATTTGGATGGACAATGATATTGGGTATGTTCAAGGTAAATTACTTGTGTCAACCCATTCTTCCACTATGGTTTTAGAGACGTCCTACCCCTTCTTTTAAATTTGTTTTATTCATTGACTAGGAATGAATGACATATGCTCTCCGATGGTTATTCTTCTCGAACATGAAGCTGATGCCTTCTGGTGCTTTGAGCGTGCAATGCGTAGACTGGTGAGATTATGCTGTCCATGGTAAAATATGCATGCATATACTCTGTTATTGTTATCAATTTTTTGTTTGTATTGTTGCTATATCATCCTGGATTTAATTTTTGTTAACGCTTTTATTTGACTACACTAAGTAATAACAAAGAAATAAATTCAAACATGACTTGACTCTTATGTTCACCTCTCTATCACTTTCACTTCTTTTGATGTTGGATCATCGTTTTTCGATTGTCATAAGTGCAGAGAACACTAAATAAACATACAATCGTTACAATTGTGTGTGGTAATCCATGGTCCCTTACACGTTTTTGCATTGTTATTATCTTTTTCTTTGGGAAAGGGACCTAGTGTTTGTGCAATATCGTTGTTTGTCTTGGTAACTTGAAAAATTTGAAGTCCAAAGCAATGCTTTTTACCTAATCATTTGACAAGATATTAGGCTATTTGTTGAGCAGTCATAGTTAAGCCCCTGTTTGACACCCATTTTTTTATCTCATTCTCATTCTCATTTTTCTACAGTACTCATTTCTAACCACACATTCTCCAAATAAAATAATATTACACATAAACCCAAAAATTCTTCTTACTTTTTAACCACACATTCTTTACATCAATCNATCAAACACTATTCAAAAACTCATTCTTCAAAATACTGGGCGTCAAACGGGGCCTAAATTGTGTAGTAGAATGTTTTGAGTAATGTTGAATGATACATGTGTTTATCCTATAGACTCAACAGTGCAGCATGTCTAAATAGTTTCCAGCTTGTTTTCCTGATAAATAGGAGTGCTGAACTGCAGCTTAAGAGCTTCCACATTTCGTTGTTACACTGCTGAGTTATCTTGTGGAGTGAATGTCTGAATGACTGTCTGAGTTTCCTTTAATAGTTATTTAGAAGAGTTCCCATTACTACTAGGAGTGGTATTTTTTAATTACTACCAACTTGAATGTATCTATAAATATCTTAGCCTTAAATATGAGATCAGGTTTTGCTAAATTTAATATTTTCTACCCAGAGGTTCATTCCATTAGACCTTTGTTTTATATGATGAAACTAAGATTCATGCTACGTATGTCTCGCTTCTCTTGGATTTATGACTAATTTTCCATTTTGTTCGTGAAGAGGGAAAATTTCAGGAGCAATGCGAGTTCAATGGGAGTGCAAACTCAACTGGGTACCCTAGCACAAATTATCAAAGCTATTGATCCAAAGCTCCATCAGCACCTTGGTATGTGCTGCTGTCTTATATAGAAGTTCTCATTCTTTCTGTGCCTTCTAGTACCATTTTTATTTCACTTCAAAGTAGCATGGTTACTTGTTCTTTCGGAGCGAAGATGAATCTGTGGTTAGTTCTTAACTAGTTGAGTTAACATGTATAAATTGATTGCCAAAGTCAGATGCCTTAAAGTTAATGCTTGTCCAGCAACATGAGATAAATAATAGGTTTAGCATTTTTGTTCATGAATGTACCCTAGTAACATTGAGTAGTGTAGATCCTTCGAAAGTTACATGAAGTTAATTATTCGAATATATATATGTACATTTTGTATCTTGAATGATTTTTGGATATGTTCGTTCCCCTCTCCAGATTAGAGTTAAAAAATTGCAAGGTATAACCCCTGTCTGAGCCCCATTAAAACTCATTTTTCCTCAAACTTATTTTCACCTACACATTTTCTCAATAAAATAATTTTACACGTAAACCAAAAACTTTTCCCTATTTTTTAACTACACATTCTCAAAAAAATCATTATGACAAAATCTATTTTTCAAAAAAATGGGACTCAAACAAACCCATAGAAACATGAAATGAAATGACCGGGTCTTCGTTTCCATCAACAGAGGAGCTGGATGGCGGTGAATATTTGTTTGCAATTCGAATGCTGATGGTACTATTCCGGAGAGAGTTCTCATTTGTTGATGGATTGTATCTTTGGGAGGTAAAGAGCAATGACTCCAACTGGTTTTATTGTTTCATGTTTTTTTTTGCATTGCCGATCTGTATGGATTGTTTTTCTTTGGAAATCAGTTGGATAATGGAGCTCCAGAGAGAAATTCATCTTTTGTTTCATTTCTATTTTATATTATTATTGTTGCTTATGCGGTTCTATCATTGAGGTAAGGTTTGACTCTTCATATACCATAGAATCATTTTACTAAATGCTATTTTGGTCGTAACATTTTGATTCAGGTCATGTGGGCCATGGAGTACAATCCAAACATCTATTCGTTGTATGAAAAGTCGAGTGACCCAAATTCTTCTAGTACCCACAAAAATGACGAAGCTAAAGTAAATAGTAAGATGCTCAAGCAGTATGGAAAATTCGAGAGGAAAAATGTGCAAACTGGATGGAAAGACCAAAGAGGCGCTCTTGCTGTTTTCCTTGCTGCTAGTGTTCTTGAGACAAAGAATAAGCGACTTCTGAAAGAGGCTCAAGGGCTAGATGATGTCGTCCAGGTACTTGTCGTTGCCTGTATTATATTATTATTATTATAGGCATGTTTGGTACAAAGTACTGGATAATTGTGCCTATATCTATCAAGTATGGTTGAGCCGAACATACTAAACTTATCATTAGAGTATCTTGAAATATTGGATATCCATCTTTTAACTTTAGAAATATTCCTCTTAATAATATTGGAAATATATGTAGATTTTGGGTGAAATCACTGGAAATTTGGATGCCAAAAAAGCATTGCACGAGGCATTGAAAATTCACAAGAAGTATTTGAAAGTAAGGCTTTACCTACTTCCCAGTTAGTACTTTACAATTTCCTTTATTTTTTAGCCCAAGTCTCGCCCTCCATCCCAGTCCCGACGATCTTTTATTTTGGATGTCTTACGGCAAACTGTCGAATGCAGGCAAAGAAACCGTAGTAACCACAAAGAGAACAAGGGAGCAAGTATTTTCGTACGAAGGTTTTTGCTTTTGTTTTTACCTAATTTTGCTGAGTGAGTTACAGCAATTCATCGCTTTGGGTTCCTATTAACTCCCATTGTCTTGTGATAAAAGTTCTAAATTTGTCTGTATATAAGATTTTGTGTTGAGAGTTGAAGCATGAGCTCAGTGCATTGTACAAGAGTTCTTCGTAAAAGAAAGGCCTCATTTATTTGCCCCCATTATAGACATGTAAAATGAACTGATATACAATTTTGATTGCTTTAAAATGTTCTTTTTATGTAAAATTCTTTTTGTTGGCATGGTACGTTCAAGAACTGATCACGATATTATTTTCAGTTCTTGTTTGGTACGCATTTCTGGAAATTCATTTTCAAGCACAAATTTTAGAGGATTCACAACTTTCTTCTTTTCCAATACATTTTTTCAATTTTTATCAAAGTATACTAAATGTCTAATTTGGACAAAATCAAATATGAACTTTATCGAAATTAGCTTACACTAAAAAAGCGTGATTTGGCCAAATAAACACAAATGGAAAAAGGTTTTGCTAAGTTGGTTAATATTGAATCGTTTCATTTATTCTATTGAACCCTAGGCCCCTATTTGAACCCGGTTTTCTAAAAATTCATTTTTTCTTCAAACTCATTTTCAACCACTCTTTTAATAAAATAATTTTGCATTTAAATATTATATTTTTTTTTCCCATTTTTTAATCACAAATCCTTTAAAAAATCACTATTATAATGCTCATATTTGGCCAAAATAGGACTCAAACAAGGGCCTAGTTACGTTTTGTTAATTCGGTGATAGAATTCACCATTGAATGAATAAACGTTTTCAGATGTTTTAACAATTAGTGTAGACGTAAGTATCATACGTGACAGGTTGCATTATCGAACTAATGGAACGTCAAAGTCGGGTATGATTCTCTATTGAGAAAATCTGAAAATGTATGACATTAATGGTTTAAGGTAAACACCAAAATATAAACCAAAGAGGAGCTATTTTATTTAAAAATATTGATCTTTCAAAGTGAAACTCCAAATCTTAATAGTAACATGATGGTATAAATTAAATGAATGTTGCATTCGAATGGAACGATTGAAGATTCATGGCATGTTTGGTACGGCTCAAAATCCAATTAAAATTGAAAATATAGTCGTTATTGAATTCCACTCATCTAATAAAAGTCAACAATAACGACTAGTTTTTCAATTTTAATCCGATTTTAATCTCTACCAAACAACCTCTCTCAGTAGTAAAGTTCAATAGCAATTGATATAATTAACACATTATATGCGCCTTTAATTACTTTAAAAATAGAGGAACTAGTAACTTTATTTTTCAATGCCACCAATGTAAAACTACAAGATATTTCGACAATTCAAATTAGACAAAACGAAGGAATGAAAGATATATAACAATGGACGGTCGACGGAAAATGATAAAATTTAATCATTAAGGATTGGGATTGAACAACACGCAGAACTCACTTGTAACTGATAATTTACTAAACACTCCAACAAACAAAAACTCAATGATTCTTTATTATAGTTGAGATTGATTAAAAGCTTCTCCAGACATCAATGGAGACTCACAGATTTTTTCTTGGTTGAAAGACGATGAATGAGTATACATAAGATTTAACCTCAAAAAACCGTAGAGAAAAAATAGTATTGCCCAAACAATGTAGAGAAACATAGACAGCGAGATTCTCTTAACTTGCTGATGCTTTAACTGCTTTCTCAGCTGCGTCGTCCAGATCTTCAGCAGTAATTAACGTCATGCCACTTTCCTGTTAACACAACACATCAATTGTAAAAATAATGAGCGCTTTAAGCATTCTTACTCATTCAAAATTAGCTTGAGATTTGAGTTCATATTCACCTTCAGAATTCTCTTTCCCTGGTCAACATTGGTTCCTTCAAGACGAACAACTACAGGTACTTTTAGTTGAACCTTGAAAGGAAACCCAAAAAAGTTAGAATTATACGATGACTCCCATAAAAGGAGAGTTAATGAAATTCAATACCACTTTGACAACTCCATCAGTTGATAAATTTTGTTCGCACTCATCAAATCAAATAATGTATTCTTTGCTTTTCTTTTGGAGTTAAAAACTTCTGGGGTAAATATAACATCCAATAAAAGAGCAAAAGATGGAACGTCACAGTAATTACTAATTAAGATTTAATGACCAAGGAAAAGGTCAAACATGAAAACAATGCAGGGCAGCATTCAACTTTTATATGGAATTTGAAAGGAAAAGGTCAGAATCTACAAGAGCCTATTTTACATGTACATAAAGTCATAAATCAATGCAAGTCTTCACCTGTTTAGCAGCATTGACAATTCCACTAGCTATTATGTCACACTTCATTATTCCTCCAAAAATGTTTACCAATATAGCCTTCACCTTATCATCCGATGTCAAAATTTTGAAAGCCTCCACAACCTATTAAAAGCAGTTAAAATAATCCAATTTAAAATTTAACAAAGATTTCTGATCAACTAGCTATTTCTCAAACGACTGAAAACTCGTATATTGGTTATTAGAATCGGCTGAGAAAAAAATACAAGTTAACCCACATGTGCAAAAGAAACAGATATTTTGCAGGAGAAAGAAAATCGGAGGAACCTGGCTTTCAGAAGCATTTCCACCAACATCAAGAAAATTAGCAGGAGTTCCTCCATGTAACTTAATAATATCCATGGTAGCCATAGCCAATCCAGCACCATTCACCATACAACCAATTTCTCCATCTAAACCAATGTAGTTCAGGTCAGCTTTTGCTGCAGCAACCTGACAATTTATAGCCGAGTTCAATAACAAAAGTTTACTGGCATCTTGAATGCTGTGAGCATGCATAAAGTACTATACCAAGGTTCATAAAAAATAAATCATGGAAAATACCTCACGAGGATCCTCTTGTGTTGGATCTCGAAGTGCAAATATTTCTTCCTGACGGAAGGCAGCATTATCATCAAAGTTCAGTTTCGCATCGGCAGCTACCAACTGTTTATCAGAAGTCTCGGCCATGGGATTGATCTGCCCAAAAAGTTGTGGTTCCATTTGAGACATAAAACAAGAGTTATGGAAGCTTATGCCCCGTTACAAACCTAGAGAATATTAAGTAATCAACAGAAATAAAGGAAACCTTTGTGATATAATGCAAATTAGATTTCTTACTTCCAACAATGTGCAGTCACATTTGCAGAAAAGATCGTATAACTTCTTCACTTGTTCAATTGAAGCATTTCTGTCAGCCACCTTGGGAGACAAACCATCAACCACCTTGGCAGCGTCCTCATCTGTGATTCCTGTGAAAACATCAATAGGTACCTGGCCCAGAAAAGAACAGAGTTCTAATTAGTAAAAAGTAATCATAGCCAAAAAGCAAAATTTCCACAAGCAAGCTAGCACTCAAAGTAAAGGTGGCGAGAGCAACCTTAACGATCAACTCCGGATGTTTCTCAGCAAGATCTTCAATACTGGTTCCTCCCTTTTTACAGGCAATAATGAGCTGCAGACATGACAACATCCATACACTAATTAGAATCTTAATACATTTACTCAGGTCAATAGAATCTTCAAATAAATCCCACCACTGTGAGTAAGAATAATCAAATTAGCCATAAATAAATAAATAAATTTCGGTTTATCATAAATACATAACACAATTGAATTTCAAATACATTTTCTTTTTACATAGCATCAATTAGATCCTGAAACTGATAACATGTCCATCTAAGCAAAGCACTCATGAAAAGCAAATGCTATATGAAAGCCAGATGAGAGAAATTAGTTGGAAACTAGATCAATTTTAATGAGACACCATGAGATTCATCAACAGCTACTCAATGAGAACACCAAGTAAGACACATTCAGGATAGTCATAGATGATACAATTAACAAATGATTCTCGCCAAATAACACACATCCCCGAGGATAAAAGTTGCGGGTCCATGAAATGTGTGATTGAAAATGAGTATGGAGAAAAATGAGTTTTAAGAAATTGGGATCATACAGGGGCATAATCTAAATACACCAAGAACTAAAGCGATAAAGTGCAACACATTAGCACATTTTGAGCAGCTTCATTAGTCGTAAAAAGAGAACAATTAGGTAGTCTACAATTTTTGGGAACTTACAGGACCAGCACTTTTACGATCAAGAGTAATGGCAAAGTACATCTCATTCACAAGCGACAACTTTTCACACAAGTAAACCTGCAAGAAAAGTTACATGTGATGACTTTAGTACAGAATCTTACTAGGGCAAAATAAACAACTGAAACTTTTAAATCCAGGAAAAGTGCATTACAGTTAACTAGGGATGTAAATAGAGTATTATCAAACTATTGATTATCTTGAAATACTTGTATTAATAAGTGGGTATGATGTATGACTTCCGTGTCGAAGTAAAAGTATAGAGGCGACCATAATCATGCAAACTGTTGATGGCAAATGAGCCATTTATTCAATGGCTACAAATAATAAGCCACAAAGTCCCAATTAATTTGCAAAAACGAATAGGAATATGTTAAGTGAAGCACAGAACAAACAAACTAGAAAAAATTGTGATGTTTAAATTAATCAAGTTTGTGATCATGGTTTTGAGTTAAAAATGATATAGAAATTGCAAGAATTTCTCCTACTACTCCTACTCCTCAAACCACAATGTTACATACAAATTCCTCTAAACCTTCAATATCCAACTTGAAAACCTTTTATATCCTCTGCTCACCAGTTGGGATGAAATCTAGATACATACTGGAAAGTGACAAAATAAGAGTCCAATTCACACCATGTTTAGTCCAAAACCAGATTGGTCAAGCTGGCCATCAAAACACAAAACATCTCAACATGTTATTCACAACTCCTCTGGCTAAAATGAAGAAGTTTTTACGTTGTTGCAAAAACGAAAACAGACCAATCCAAATATGTTTCTAATGTAATATTTCATTTTTAGGTG